TGCAGCTGGTGGCTGGGTGCAACAGCAGACTTAAGCCACGGGGATGTACCATTAGGATGGCAAGGGCGGTGCTGGAGGCAAGGCGGACCACTCCTCTGGTGTCCAGGGCAATAGCAAGTGGGGGGGGGGGTTAAAGGCAGTCATGAGGAGGAGCTGGGGGAGACAGAGGTGCACACATCTGGTGCAGGACAGTGAAGGAGCCTAAGGTGCCTGAGGCAGGGAGTGAAGTAACTGCCCTGCAAGGGAGCCCTTGGACTGCTCTTCCACTAACCAATAAAGTCATTGTTTGGACCCCGCTCTGCATCTCTGCTGCCTTCCTGGATAACATAGAACCCCAACTCTTGTTCAACCTCCTCTGGGCACCAACCCTTCCTCCCCCTCCCCCCCCCGCTCTGGGATGGACACAGGACCCAAGACTATAGCTACCATTCAAAGAAGCTCACCTGGTGGGCACATGAAAGAAGGCCTTTTTGGTGGCAGCCCACCAAAAATAAAATTGTAATTGACAGCACGATTCCTGTTTATACATGCAATAACAATACAAGAAAACACTATATCAAAATACCATTACCGCTATCAATTAAAAAGAATGATGCTTAATAAATTATTCATACATAAAGACATATACAGTGTATTCTTTGTGTCCTTAGCTCATACAATTAACAATTGATTAATAGGTTCACAATACAAGCAGTTATAACAAAGTATATAATATTAACCACAGTGGAAACATTACAGATATCCCTGTTACAGGAACCATATCTATACAATATATCAAAGTCTCTGAAAGGGCAAAAGGAGGTCATAACCAAACTTTTCAAATGACCTCAGCTACAATGAAAGTATCAATACGCTCAGCTTTCCAAAGAGCTCAAGAATTTTCCAGTGAACTCAACTGACTGCTGATGCGGTTTGAGAACCTTTGCCAATTATATCAGTATTAAGACGTTTGCATATTCCTGGAAAAGGCTTGGATTCGCTGGGATAATAATGATTGAATATTGGTTCCAGGTCTGAGAGTATTGTGCCTATGAGATACGCTGAAGATGACATAACTGATGAAAAATTGCTGCAAATGAGATCCGACCTAGGCTTTTTATCAGTTCACTGGAAAACTCTTGAGCTCTTTGAAAGCTGAGCGTACTGATACTTTCATTGTAGTTGAGGTCATATGAAAAGTTTGGTTATGACCTCCTTTTGCCATTTCAGAGACTTTGATATATTGTATAGATATGGTTCCTGTAACACCGATGCCTGTAATGCTTCCATTGTGGTTAATATTGTATACTTTGTTATAACTGCTTGTATTGTGAACCTATTAACCAATTATTAATTGTATGAGCTATGGACACAAAGTATATACTATATTTTAAATATATTAATAATTTATTAAGCATCATTCTTTGTAATTGATAGCAGCAATGGTATTTTGATAGTGTTTTCTTGTATTGTTCCATGTCAGAAACTGAAGCTGGTTAACTTGGTTAAGTGACATTGCTTACCTGATTTTGAAAACCCAACAATTTTATATAAACTCTTTAGTACATTCTGATAAGAATTGAAAATACTACACCTTCTCCCTTCTCCCTTGGTAAACAGGAAGCTATCAAGTTTTTTAAAAGTACTGGATGCATTAGTGCAGAAGCAAAGGTCCAATGCATTTAGAAAGCTCGGAAGGATGGAAATAATTGTGATCAGACTATTTCTTGACTCCATTTGTGCTCCTTTGTTAATGGCTTTAACAACATTTCTCAGGCCACTTTTCACTGTACTTAAGGACTTAGGCATTACCCGCTCTACACTGCACACATTTCGGACTAACAGAATGACCCTTTTAAGCAGCAGTCAGCAGACAAGGCTTTTCAGTTTTGCAAGAGCAGAATCAATTGCCTAACCCTTCTGGAATGAGAGATTTTCTAAACAAAGCAACACTTCTACATGCTTTTTCAGGCACACATTAAATTACAGCACAACCAAGCCAATATTTTTCTAGAGGCAAAAATTCGCCTATCCATTGGGATCGCAAAGAGTAAGGGTGCCCTCTAGTGAAGCAATGCTATAATTCTAGCCACTCAGGTGGAGAAAAGATCTTTTCTCAAGTCCTAGCTAAGCACTGAGGAGCAAGTAACCACACGTTTGTGTAGAACTGCAATTAGAATTCAAGGTTTCTGGCTAACGAACTGTTTCTCCAAATAGTGAAAACAATATATTCCCCCAATTTCTTCAAAGAAAGAAAACTGGAGGATGTTATTTGCACAACAGAGTCTTACTTTCTTAAACTGAAAAGTTAACAGATTGAAAAGAACAAAAATAGGCTGTAACAGCAGCGGAAGAGAGCACATCACAGGTAAAGTTTAGCCTTCTGCTACCAGGGATAGTGCACATGCGTACCCTGTGGCTAGGGCTGAGGCCAGCACTCTCAAGTATTCTTCTTCAGGGCTGGAGATCTCTTTTCAGTAGAGATCATCTCCTATTCTACCTTCCATCAAACCCTCTTTAGGTACTTGTGATATCTGCATGCAGACATACCCATTTACTAATACAGGAAGTTTTTAGTGGCAAACTTGCAGACTCAAAAGCGAGTGCATCTAGGATGCAAAGGACCATCAGCTTTTCAACTTCCCAGTCTGGTGTTGTAGCATACAAGCAGGATCTCAGGGAAATGCCTTGGGGAAATGCAGAGACCTGGACACCACATGCTCAGCAGCACAGAAAGCAGGCCTTGTGGTCATTAAACGACAGGAATGGAGGAACAGCATGGCAAAAGTACTCTGCCTATGTATACCACAGTTGTGCAACATCAAGTTCATTAAATTACAGCAGTCCAAGTATATCATACATTGATTTTTTTTCATTAAAAGGTCTAGATTCTCCCACATTTTAAAAAATCTTTAGTCACTTTTTTGTTTTTTTCAATGTACAGGAACAGTGGAAGTAACAAGGACAACCCCAGGCAATATATATCCTGTAGCATCATATCTGGTAATATAACACAGGAAGCCCCAAATTTAAGGTCCAAGAACCCTCACAGCATAAGCAAACCAGAAGCTGGCTTGAGGAACTGGAAGAGGGCTATAATTGAGAAAGTGGAAGATTTTGAGCCATAAAAAGAGGTCTACAAGCTGAGAAACTTTGCTAAATTGTGGCTAAACTGGATAAAGCCAATAACTAAAAGAACCTCTAGTAAGTATTTGGAAGCAAGAGATAGGTAAAACTGCAGGTATTTTTTCCCCCTGTAAATATGGACAATCTTGACAGTGGGAACTCAGAACAATCCAGGAAGGGAGAAACCCAGGGACATACCATCTCAAGAAACCAAGCACAAACATGGGTGTCTGCTTTCCCCTTATCCCTGAGAAGGCCAAATGTGCTCTCTGCAACTAAAGTGACAAACTGGCCTGCTTGCAGCTAGTTGGTACCCTTAATTCCCCTGGGTGAAGCAACATGACATGTTTTGTGCACTACTGTCTGCTGTTGCTACTTCTTAATAAAACACTTTGATTTGTAAATCTAACTAGTTGTGTGCGAGATTAGTTTTGCTTGTAGCAGGTACTCATTTGCATATTAAGCGACAAAACCCTAATGTAGCCAATCCTCCAAGAGCTTACAGTAGCCCCTGTAAGAAGAGCTCTGTAAGCTCTTGGAGGATTGGCTACATTAGGGGTGTGTGGCCTAATATGCAAAGGAGTTCCTGCTACAAAAAGAGCCCTGCCTCTCACTGTGGTGGAAAGTGCTGTCAAGCTGTAGCTGACTTATGGTGACCTCATGGGATTTTCAAGGTGAGAGACTAACAGAGGTGGTTTGTCATTGCCTGCCTCTGTACAGGACCTCTTTGTTGGTCTCCCATCCAAATACTAACCAGGGCTGACCCTGCTGAGCTTCTGAAATCTGATGAAATCAGGCTAGCCTGGGTCATCCAGGTCAAGGCTTCATCTGATTAGAACCCTGAAAAGAACCTGCACCACAGCGGCCTACTCTACTCATCCAGTTAACAGCAGTATGCTATCCATCAACATCAAAAAAGACAGCAGCCTTGGTCAGTGACAAAACTTATGCAGTGCAACATCATACAAATGTTTGGCACTGTTGACACCCCTTTGCCCCCATATCCAAAACACCCTCAAAATATGTAAAGAGAGGGAGAGAGGCCCATTCAAATGAGGTGCTCACTGCCCTTACCAAAAGGATGTGACCTAGGAGAGAGAACATTGTTTGCCCTCCTGCCCACAGCCAATCACCAAGGTTACTTTGCACTTAGGGTTCATTGCTTAAAAGAGCAATGCAAAACAACATGACACATTCCCACTCTACTGTTTTTCCCTAAAAGGCAGATGTGTTGCAGTAGTTTGCATTTGTAGTTCACTTTTACCACATTGGTCAAACAAGCAAAATGAATCGGAACTCAATATGATTTTTGACATGCCTCGTTTCTTGGGAATGTTATCTGCTAAGCCACCATTTCCCTGTTGTTGTTGTTGTTTTTCAAACACAAGTGACTGGATGTTCATCAAATGATATGTGCCCATGTAGAGTACACATACCCTTGCTTTGTTAATTATAGGAAAGCCAACAATAGAAAGAAAATTCTGGCATCCCTAACCCAAGAAGCAGCAATCAAGTATGTGACATTTGTGCAAAGTGGCACTTCTGCTGAGATGAGAACCCAGCCAAACAGTATTGGAGATCATATATCATTCTGGGCATTAAATGGCGCTGATGAATGTACACGTATACTTTCCTCAGATAAACAATTTGTAAGTCTTGCAAAACAGTCCACTAATTATTTGCAGGATTTATGGCCGAAGAAAAGTTTCCTCAAAATAGCCCAGTTCTTTGCCAGAAATTAAACTTTCAAATTCTAGCTGATTTGAAAGGAAAAACAACAATACATTATTATCCAGCACTGCAATTATGCAAGTCTTCCCTCTTTCCAAAAAAAGTAGTGTTAAACTTCAATGCCTCAAAAAAAAAAGTATTTTTGTTTTGCTTTATTTAGTGCTTAAATCTCTTGGCATCTTTGAACAGAAACAAAGAAGAAAATAACTGAAAGAGACAAAGAAAGAAAATCTCAAGTTATGAAAAATAAGGTCTCCCACACATTACATTGTAAACACTCCCACTGCCAAACTCCAAATGAAAAAATATCAATTTAAAGAACATGTACAAGCACTTAGTGAACAGCCTTAATAGAAAACAGACCAACTCCAACCAATATAAGTAATAATCCACCTTTTCTACTACTTTTCTCTTTGTAGATGGAACAGAGGCAGGGAAAGAATCTGGTGCTGCAGGTTTATATTGTTGGGGAAGAGAATAAGGAGCCTCAGAGGCAGCAAATAACCAATTGTAAGCAAGAAAACCTGGATTCAGTCCCACAGAGGGTTCCACCGATAGAAGGGGGTGCAGTTTCACTGACTTCCCCCTTCCACTGTACACTGACTCCCCTACATGCTGGTCCTGGGGGGGTCCCATCCCTTCCCCCTACAGCAGACTTTGGGAGGGGAGGAGGGGGCTCTGGGCTGCAAAGAGAGCAGGGAGGTGAGGAAGTTGTACACAGATGTTGGAAATACTTCCATCAACAGAAGTGTTTGGTGGGATCCAAGTCAGACGTTTGAGAATTTGAGTTGAATTCCTACGGCATTTGTGCATATTTTATATACAGTCCCTTGTCATATGGTCAAACATAAGCGGGGGGGGGGGAGAATACAGGGGCTGTGCCTGCAGACTTTGCTCTTGACCTCCATGGGCTCAAAAGGACCATTTACAGGCAGAGCACATTTTTAGCTGCATTATCTGTAGTGAAAACTACACGTATTTGGTGTTCAGCATACACATGTAGACTTCATGAAAACTGTGCTCTTGAGAGCATGGTCATCAGGGACAGGACCAGAAGGCCTCAATCAACCCCCTATATGTACTCATTTGTGCCCAAATCAGGTATGAAAAGGGCTGATGACACACGCAAAAGTGAAATGTAACAAACATATGCTTTAAACGATCCTAAAACATCGCAAATCACAAAAGTATTTACAAGTATCTCTCCACTGGGCCTACTGTTTTAAATGCTACATGGAAATCATTGTGGGATTCAAAGAGAACAATGGAGACAAGCCTATTTCACACCTTGCCCTGAAGAGATCAGCTTCTGTTGGAGAGTTCAGGGTATGCGTGCATACTTGTATCATACAACAGATTACACCAGTTGCTCAAAAAAACTGAAGAGAAAGAAGGCAACCAGTGATCATTCAGTGTCCACTACAGTCCACATGGAGAAATGCAATCAGAGTTTAACGAAGTGTCCACTACAGTCCACATGGAGAAATTCAGAGTTTAACTGAGAAAGATGATCCGCAGGAGCAGCCTTGCTCAGCCTGTGGATTGTTCACCACCTGGAAGGCGCTGCGAATTAATTCCTTGTTGAAGTCCACCATTGCCCCTTTCACAAAGTTCAGGCTGTCCAAATCCACAACCACCCGGGCACTCCCTTGTTCAAAAACCCTAAGAGAAAGAGATGCAGATGGAAACAAGCACTGAGAATTTGGAAGAAACAAACTCACATTCAACACAGAGCTACCTCTGTTCCAGGCCATATATTCAAAAGAATCTTCTGGCTATCTAGCCCACAATCCATCAGCAATACCTTGGAGACATTATGGGCACTACAGTCTGCAAGACCTTAGAGTATGCCTATTCTCTTCTAAGCTCCCTTTCAAGGTAGGCAGGTGAGGCTGTACTGCACATGACATCTAGCCATAATACAATTCCAGGGGAGACCAAGAGCAGAGTTTTCTTTGTCACAATTCTGGATCTGCCTTAGTCCAACCATTCAGGCTTACAGGCAAGGCTGCTACCCCTGTTCCAGGTAACCCAGGAAGCTTGGGGAGAGGGTCAGAGAATGGGAGAGGGAGCAGAGCATGGCAGAGGGAGCATCACTGACATGGTCACATCAATTCTGTTTGACCAACCAAAAGTGACATCATCATATCGACAAAACTCTAGGAATTTCCACAATCTCTATGGTAAAGACAACAAGGATTGGGGAAATCCATAGAGCACTGATGATGTTGCAACAAAAGTGACACTGTCTCACCTGCAACATCACCCCCTGATTCCTGTTCTCTCCCACCTCTCAGAGCTCAAGAGCAGGCAGGGGCAGAAGTTTACCCACCACAGGTGGGCAACTGCCAGCCCTACTTTCTGGAGAATAATGAAAGCAGCACTCCTCTTCCAATACATTTTGTTGAGTTCTTCAACATGGCTCTTGCTTCTGTTTTTGATTAATTTTATCTTGTTACTTTGATTTAACATTTAATATAATGTTTGATTTTGTTAATTGCTTTGAGTTTCTCCATGGGAATTTAGAGGAGGATACAAATTTAATATGCAAATCCATGACCTGATTTACAATGTTGCTGTGAGGCTTGGAAAGAATATGCAATGGAAGTGACTGTCAGGGAGAATCAAAGACACCTTCATAGGTATCTCATGTTCTGCACCACTGCCATGAATATGGTTACCAGTCCCAGACTGGCAACCAATAGGAGGCCAAGTGGGGGTGGAGACATGGGGGGATGGCTGTTAGCAACAATGCGAGATCACTGAGATTTGCTTAACTTTGTTCAGTTACTGAGAAGAAACATTTCCCCAAAGTTGTTGCCATAAAGATGCCATATTATTGGAGAGAACATTGACCTTACAATCAAGCCACAACTGTTTATATTTAATTGTCTGCTGCCACAAGACCCAAGTTGGTTATTTTTCCTTTGCATTCTTTGGAAAAATGAAGCCATTCGGTTGTACAAACTGAAAAAGATACCTCTGTATCAAAGTGAGTTATACCTGGGACCTCATCTTTTTTGTACCCCTTTGGATATTTATGTTCTTTTCTTGACTATAAACTCTGTGTATAATGTCAACCTCTTTTCTCTCATTTATTGTTAATTCACTGTTGCCAAATTCATTATTATTTTGTAATTATATGGTAGTTTGCACACTTTCTTTGTCACAATGTTATGCTATTTTTTTGAAATACACAAGTTAGCTACATATTATTTATGTTTGCCTTTTCCAAGGTCCTTATTGCTTCTCTTTTCTTCCTCACTGGAAGATCTCTCCCTCTGCTTGGCTGCCCCACCCCACCCCCAGTCAAGCTCTAGTGGCAGCAACCAGTTGCCTGTTCCAAGGCCGAAGGAGGCAGCTGCAGGGCTGGAGGACTCCTTGGAAGTGATCTTTGCCCACAATAGAACCCTGCACAGCCCCACACCTTCCTTTGACAGTTACCACTGCCTTTTTATTATGATGTTGGGAATATATAAAATGGGGTTCTCTACACAGTAAGGTTCTGAAGCACACCCCAATTCTACAAGTCCCCCCTCCCCCTCACAATGTTATCTGTGCCCTTACCTGTCATCAGGATTGACAACTGTATCCAACGAAAACTTATACTGGAAACCTGAACAGCCACCTCCTTCCACCTGCAGCCTGAGAAATTCAGACCCTCCTGTAATCTCCAGTAGCCTCTGTTGCAACAGAAGGAGAGAGCTAAAAAGATGGGCAAGTGTGCCATGCAAACATTTAGCAGCCACCTGAAAGTCTGATAAGTAAGAGCCCTTGAAAGGGCCTGGAGCACTGGAGAGCATGCAAAGTGCTGAGCAAAGAGGCAAGTCACAGCAAGAAGCAAATTAACCCCACAGGTAACACTTTAGATGCCTTACTCAAGAAATGAGTTTATTGTGGAATTATCCACAAACCTCAGATTCATATCATCTCCCTCTGACACAGTGCAAACCAGGCTAACCCACCCCCCCCGGATCAAGTGTTTCATTACAAACACACTTTACCATAACACTGCAAATTATAAGAGGGGTAAGTTTTTATATCCCACTTTTCTCTACCTTAAGGAGTCTCAAAGCAGCTTACAATCGCCTTTTCCTTCCTCTCTCCATAACAGGCACTTTGTAAGGCAGGTGGGGTGAGAGAGTTCTGGGAGAACTGCGACTGGCCCAAGGCTTCATGTGGAAGAGTGGGGGTATCAAACCCAGTTCCCTAGACTACAGTCCACCAGTCTTAACCACTATATGATGCTGGCCCCTCTGGTCTGTATTTATACCAAAACATAGAGTATTTAAATGGCCAGATCACAGACTGCTAGTAAAATAAATAATAAAAATAATAATCAAATGCCATTTCAAACTACAGCAACCTTACTGTTATCTTAGAACCTTATAATTTTTAAATGTACAGAGAAAGAGGGAGCATGCTGCATAGGCACACAGGCATTAGGCCACTCTAAAATCCAAGAGGCATCACAACATGACATGTAGCACATAGGTTTAGTGACTGTCAAGGAGTCATACTTTCACACAATTTTCACTAAGGTAGATCTGTCCGTCATTTGAATCGCTCTGTCTCTCTCCAGGGGCAGAGGATGCCACCAACCGCCCTCTTATCCTTGGCACACAGGCACCAGTCTGAGAGGTCTGAGATGGGGCACTCACCGGGTGCCAGAGAGCATAATTAGGGCTGCATAGGAAAAACATGAAATGAAAAATAAATTGTTGGGCAGAAATTACAGCAGATGGGAGATAAAAGGAATGAAGACAGCGTAAGAGCCATGAGGGGGGGGGGCACATACAAGAGAGAGGAAACTGCCAACAGACCATGACTTTCCAAACTGTAGGAACAGGTGTCTGTGGAGAAATCCCAACATATAGAGGCAGCAAGTTGTGTGGTGTTTCTGTAACAATAATGAAAAAACTAGATGACACTTCTATAATGCCTGTCTGGTTGGGTAGAGGCAATAAGCTTTCCACTGGAAGACCCAAGCAGTGCAGGTCAGATTGTGAGGTGGTCTTCTCATATATACCAATGCACACCGTGGAAGGAAGGATCACACAAAACCCTGTATTTCCTAGTTCTCTGTTTGTATTTATTTATTTAGTGCATTTTAGTGCATTTAGTGCACTTTTCCTTCAAGGAGCATGGTTAGCGTCTCAGAGTAGGATCTGGAAGACCCATATTCAAAACCTCACTCCACCAGGGATGGCTGCTGGGTTGAGTCAGTCACGCACTCTCAGCCTAACCTACCTCAAAGGGTTGTTGGGAGGATAAAATGGGGGAGGGGAGACTATGGTAAGCCATTTGCTGAATCCATTGGGGAGAACCATGATATATATAAATGAGATAAATAAGTACATGGTTCTCCCTTCCTTTGCTTTATCATCACAGCCACCAGGTGAGGTGGGTAAGGCTGGGAGAGAGTGACTGACCCAGGATCACCCAGTAAGTTTCATAGCAAGCATGGGTTGCAACACAGGTCTGTTGCTGGTTTTTGCCGTCAAGTCACAGCTGGGCCTGGCGGGATCTGGTCCATGGGGTCGCGAAGAGTCGGACTCGACTGTGCGACTGAACAACAACACATAGCTGACGTATGGCGAGCATGTAGGGCAGTGGTGCCCATGTTTCCTGGCACCCACCAAGTGTTTTTAGAAACTGGGGGGGGGGGCAGGTGGGGCACTTGCCCAGTAGAACTTCTGACAGACCACTGGAGAGCTGATTGGCTGGGCAGATTAGGATAACAGTGTTTCAGTGGCCACTGCCAGCAGTGTTGGTTTTATTCTTCCTCTCTTCTTACCCAGTGTATTTTTTTAATTACTCCCCTTCTCCCCAGCGCTTGGCTCCGCCTCCTGCAGCAGCTGTTTTGTGGTTGTTCCCGCCATCCTGTGTCAGAATTTCAAAGGAGCCCACAGGCTTAAAAAGGTTGGGGACCCCTGCTGTAGGGTTTTCAAGACAAGAGTCATTCAACACAGGTCTACCAAGTCATAATCCATCACTCTGATCACTACACCACACTAGCAGGAAAGTCTCTAGTAGAAAACAGATTCCAAAGAACTAAAAGAATGGCAAGGATCCTTTACAGAATCCTTGCTGCTTTGGAACTTCTCATCCCAGGCAAGGAAGAATCAGTGCTTCCTTAAAAAACTGTATTTAGGGTACTATGAAAACCTGAGAGAAAATCCAAATTCTGTGCAGGGCTAACAATGTCACCGTAAACAGAGCTACACCCTTCTAACCTCAAAAGTCTCTAGTAGAAAACAGATTCCAAAAAACTAGAAGAATGGCAAGGATCCTTCACAGAATCCTTGCTGCTTTGGAACTTTTCATCCCAGGCAAGGAAGAATCAGTGCTTGCTTAAAAAACTGTATTTAGGATACTATGAAAACCTGAAAGAAAATCCAAATTCTGTGCAGGGCTAACAATGTCACCGTAAACAGAGCTACACCCTTCTAAGCTCAATGACTTCAAAAGACCCGTGTAACTCTGCTTAGGACTGCACTATTAGAAGAAGAAGAGATTGGATTTATACCCCACCCTTCACTTGGACTCTCAGAGTGGCTTACAAACTCCTTTCCCTTCTCCTCCCCACAACAGACACCCTGTGAGGTAGGCGGGGCTGAGAGAGCTCTGACAGAAACTGCTCTTTTCAAGAACACCTCTGACAGAACTATGGCTTGCCCAAGGTTTGGCCAAGGTTATCCAGCAGCTGCGAGTGGAGGAGTGGGGAATCAAACCCGGTTCTCCCAGATTAGAGTGCTGCGCACCTACACCAACCAATACACCAAACTGGCTCTCCGTTTCTTAATCCTTCTACACCAAACTGGCTCTCAGTTTCTCAGTTTCTTAATCCTATCCTCTCTTCCGTTAGGATGTTCAAGATGACTTTGAGCCTTTACTACTGGGTCAGGGGCTAAATTTTCAAAGACTGGACATATCCAAGTTAGTTATGAAGTTCTAAGCATGCTTTTTCTGCCCCTTTGTTTCTCTTCACCTGAACATTGCTTCCTTTCTCCATTATATAGGGTGGCCTTTTTTAATAATAAAAAGACAAAGCACAGGATTCATGAATACTTGGCATTTAAGCAAACGCAAGGGGGAAGACATAATAGGTTTTTATTCCACAGCTATAGGAGATTTATTTTTGACAGTGTTTGTGATCTTCAGATCAGAAGGGAGAAGTTGTTGTCTGTAATATCTCCATTGCGGTCTTAACTGCTTTAGTAAAATACAGAGGCAGATGCCTATACAGGTTATAGAGAGGGAAAAGGAAACCATTTGACTGAAATGAGCAGCCGTTATTTTCCTCTGCTCCCTGGCTCTGGGCAGCCTTAGATACATCACAAACCAAACAATCATCTGTAGTTATCCTTCCCACTGTATCGGCGTCATTATCCATATGCCTGAACCTTACTTGAACTCTCCTAAGCTCCTGTCCTCAATATAGCCTTCTGGTTGTGAGACCCCTACGCTAATTAAGCAGCACAAAAAGACAACTTCTTTTAATCTTTCGCCTATTTTTTCTTTAAAACCCTTTTAGCTCTTCCATGGCCCATTTGCTGTTTTGTTCCTTAAATGTTTATGTCAGAACTGCTGTCAAATGACAGGATTCCTGAGTTCAGTATAGAGACTCGCTGTGTGAACATTTCAACCAGTGACTTACAACCTACATTTCTTTTTAACAGCACTGTAGAGTGAGTATTTATATACTAGCAAACTACAGGGGACCAGTGGACATACAGGGACAACACTGCCTCCCCCCAAAAAAGAGCTTTAGGCACTGCTGTCAAAGCACCAGTGAAAGAGACAAGCCTAACAGGGTTGTATTTTCTCCTGTCATATCATGACTTGACATACAAGCTTCAAATCATTCCTCTGTGAACTAAACAACCTATAAATTAACTGAGATTGCACAATTAGGGCTGCCAGCTCTGGGTTGGGAAATACCTGGAGATTTCAGGGATGGAGCCTGGGGAGGACAGGGACCTCAGCATGGTACAATTTCATAGAGTCCACTGTCCAAAGCAGCCATTTTCTCCAGGGAACTGATCTCTATTGTCTCGAGATCAGTTGTAATAACTGGAGACCTTCAGGCTACAACTGGAGGTTGGCAACCCAGCAATAGGCTCAAACACTATAAAACACTTCTTGCATATTTTGGATTTTGCTCCTTAGGGCTCTCAGGTGACTTCAGGTGTAGAACCTACTCTGCTCGTTTTTATGTATTCCAAAAACTCAAGAAGCGTCGAAAGGTTCAAGGGCATACATTTGAAAAAAGCTCGCAACAACTCCGCAGCTGCATCAGCAGTAAGCCCCACTGTATTCAAAAGGGTAGCTTACTCCCAAGATAAGCACAGACAGAACTGTTGCTGTCTTTAAACAGTTCCTTGCTTTAATAAGAGAGACAACGTGCCCTTCTCGATGCCTCTCTGCACCTACCCTCACCCCCTTTAAAAGCCATGTCATCGCTGTTAAGAACAGCCGTATCTTTAAGGGAGAGAACAGAGTGGGCTGATCCGTTAGTCGTTGGCAAGAAAGCGGTAGGGAACTGCTATCGTCTAGGAAGCAGCAACGCCGAAAAAAGGCTCAGCACTATCTCAACTGCTATTTCCTCCAGCTAGGGGGAGGGGGGGGGAACTTAACCGACGCTCACACAAAAAGGATGCAGCTGCCTCTACCTGCTTCGCCCGCAAGTTCTCAACGTCCTAAAGCAACCGAGCCCGGCCAGTACCGCCATCTTCCTCCCCGCACGATTGCCCCGCTATTGGTGAAGATGTACCACATGTTACGCCCACATCAAACGTCATTGGCTATGGAATCCAAAAGGAATTATCTAACGAGGGAAGTGTGGCGGAAGAAGTCACGTGACAGATTGAAGCCGTTCCATACAAAGCGTGTGTGCATGAGGGCGTTATATGCCTCGCGAACGAAATCTGGCGGAAGTGCTGGAAAACGCTATGCTGATAGCGGTGCCTCTGTTAAGCTTTTTGAAGAAGAAGAAGAGATTGGATTTATACCCCGCCTTTCGCTAACCAAAGGTGTCTCAGAGCTGCTTACAAACTCCTTTCCCTTCCCCTCCCCACAACAGACACCCTGTGAGGTAGGTGGGGCTGAGAGAGCGCTTGACAGAAACTGCTCTTTTTTCAAGAACAGCTCTTATCAGAACTACGGCTTGCCCAAGGTCATCCAGCCAGGTGCAAGTGGAGGAGTGGGGAATCAAACCCGGTTCTCCCAGATTAGAGTCTGCGCACTTAACCATTACACCCTGATTGGGTGGCGCTGCAACACCAAAGGGAGGAGTTTCGACTATTTTACGAAATGTAATCATTACTGAATAGCCTAGTCCAATATTTTCTTTTTAAAAACCTGTTTAAATAATTATTTGGAGATAATTTGAAGTTATTTGATGACTGTTCAAAACCTGAACCCTTCCACATCACACATTTCTATGTTGATTGCTATTTCTTTATTTATTTACATTACATACAGATGACTGTTCAAAACCTGAACCCTTCCAAATCACACATTTCTATGTTGATTGTTATTTATTTATTTATTTACATTACATAGAGTCCACCTTTCTCACTAGGACCCAAGGCGGATTACAGAGTAAGTGAATACAATCAGCAAGATGGGGACAATCAATAAACAATTAAATAGGATTGGGGTTGTAGAACCAACCAGAAGTCTAAAAAACAGAACTGAAGCAAGGCATAAGTGTTAACATGACACATTAAAGATGCAAAATTACATAGGTGTACCCAAGGCTTTATCAGTTGCCGATTAAGAGATGAAGAGAAGTCACAGGGAACTACAGTTCTACCAAGAGATGCCAAATGGGGGATTCACTAGTGGCAACAACCCTATTGAGAATTCTGAAATAAGGGACTTCCAGTTTTGGCACTCGTCATGGCGGTCGCTGTCCTGGACCTCCAGGAGACAATCGCCAGAACCCGTGGCTAGGAGGGGGTGCGATCGTCCGCACTCCCCACGGAATCCTTGTGAGGTGTTCCAAGTCATGGGGCGCTAGACAGCTTCTCCTCCGGCAACAAAGCCGGCAAGGGGGGGGCAACCATGCCCCAACGGTCCTACTATGGAGTTTCCAGATGGAACTAGAAGCGCACACTGGATCAAGCGCTGGGTGATCTAGCAGTTTTGCAACTTAAGCGATATGGAAATCGTATAATCATTGAACTGTGAGTTAAAGTGAAGCGAGAACATCGAAAAGAGCCAAAAGCCGCCCTGTGGGAAGCAAGGGGGCGGAACTCCCCTCTGATAAGACAAATTGAAAGCGAACTCAATCGTAAAAGTGGGGGGGGCAGGCTTTTAAAGTGAAACAGACTGCATTAAAAGATTTCTAAGAACTTACCAAGCGTAACTGAGAACTTCAGAGACTGCGATAACTTTTGATTAAAAGTAAACAATTCCTTAAAAATGGCGTCTCCCATAAAGAAGGACAACAGGGAGAAGATAATGAAAGCTAAGATCACTGGAAGTACCAGCCCGGCAAGTGTTGTGCCCAGACAGGACACAAACGCAGACCTTCAAAGGTTACTAAGTGAGGCATTGCGCCCTCTGCTGGAACAAGTGATGGAAATAAATCAAAAGCTGGATAAACAGCAAGCTCAAATCAATGAGACTGTCAAAAAAATCAATCAAACGGGATTGCAACTTAAAGAAGTAGACACCAACACCAAAAAGCTGCAAAAACAAATGCAGACAATGGAGAAGAAGCGACAAATAGACGAGTCTCAACTGCTACAGCTACAAATGGAAAAGGCAAGCTATGTCCTAAGATTCCAGGGAATTCTTGAGGAAAAAGTGGGAAATCTCACTAAGTTAATGTGTGAAGCATTGGAGCAAATGGCAGAAATTGAAGCGGATACTCTACAAAATGACATTGATATGGTCTATAGATCATATACCAAATTCATAAGGAATGCCAGGAGAAGTGATGGTGAGATTCTCCAGAAGAAATGTCAGAGATAAAATTCTTAAAGCAGCCAATGGAGTCTCCCTGAAAATCAAAGGCAAAGAGATTAAGGTACTAAAGGACATACCATTTGAAATAAGGAAGAAAAGGCATAAATATAAAGACTTGGTCGCATTCCTTCAAAAGAAACAAATTATCTACAGATGGATTTTCCCCGAAGTAGTCATCTTTAAGTTTGCAAATGGAAAAGAAAAAATTGACACTCTGGAAAAAGCAAATGAATTCC